CCCGAGTGATAAGTCCTGAACGGTTTAGGGTTTAGGGTTCGGGTTTGGAGACCCACTAACTCTGACTCGAACAAATACCAGAAAGTCGCGACGATGTTTCAGATTGCTTCAGATCACCCGAAACCTCTGCAAGTTCTTTAGATGCAGCGGCACTGCGAAAGAATGTTTCATCTCAACGAAGTATCATAGCACTGGCGAGCGTTAGCTCGGGCATCAGCTCTACATGCGACGATTGTAACTTCTTAACATGTCCGTCGGCTTTAGCTCTACACAAGCCCCCGCCCCCCCGCCCCCCCCCCCCGTTGAACAACTTTAACGCACCTTCGTCCCAGTAGAGATGTAGTTTGCGCAGTCAGAGGCCCTTAACAGGAAAACCATGGAGCAGAAGCCTCCTAAACCCCTAAACCCTAAACCCCTAAACCCCTAAACCTAAACCCTAAACCCCTAAACCCTAAAGCCTAAACCCTAAACCCTGAACTTAACCCACAACCGCCGCATGCCTGCTGCCCAGCCATGTGCCACCATCACCACGACCATTATGGACCTGGCATGCTAACGAGGAGCCCAGGGACCTCAAATAGCGGGGGTTCTCGAGCTTTTTGGGTTTAGGGTTTTACGGTTTTGGGTTTAGGGTTTAGGGTCTACGTTTGGGTTTAGGGTTTAGGGCTTTGGGCATTTCAGGGGCCTCCGGCACTGGAGTTCTGAAGGACGTTTTCTGCTTGCTGCAGCGCACGACACGACTTTGTGAGACAGATTGCCACCGTGATTCGCACGTCTCGCTGGCCAGTCGGAGAAAACTCACAAACCACGTGGCCGCAAAGTCCCAGCACTAAGCCAAGAAAACCGTCCTTAGAGCTCGGCAACACGACCCTTAAACCAATGGTCCCACATGCGGTACCTTAAACGATGATAAAGAAATGGTGATAAACAACGGGAATCCAATGTTAAGTAAGGATTTAATGTCTAGGGGCTTCAGCTGCAAGCCAAAGCCAAAGCTTCCTCTTTGGCCTTAGTCAGTCCCCAATCCAAAACGAGCTGGCAAGACTGGTGCATACCCCAGTCGCCAAACCATGCCTGGACTAGTGCCGAGAGCTTCCAGCTTACCGCGCTTAGGGATGAGGCTCTAGACTTTTGAACTCGGGGATAACCATACATAGTGTAATATATATATATATATTCATTCATATATTCATGTTGGTGTACATTATATACGTATGCATGCCGGCATGAAAGTAGATGTAGGTGTGTACTTATGTATGTACGGATGTACGTACGTACGACCGTATGTATGTATGCTTGTGTGTAACGGTCTAGGGTCTGGGATATTGGTATTGTATGGTAGCATCATCCGCATTTTTCATCCTTTCTGATCTGTGAGGAGGTTACAACTTAGTGCGCTTAAGGTTCAGGGTCTAGGATGACACATCCACGCCTATGTCTCATAACTCTTAAGGGTTTTGGAATAAAGGTTATGCTCTCGCATCGACTATCTCGCGTGGTTCATGAGCTCCATCTGCGCCAGATAGAACCAAGGCTTACATATTAGTTAGCTGGGCCGTTCTTCATTGCTGTCCTGAAGCTCCTGACCCAAAGAACCCAATACTCCTGAATTAAGGAATATATACCTTAAATCATAATACCAGGGCCCCAATAATTTCAGGTATATTCCTTAATTAAGGGGTCTTGGGTTCTCTGGGGAGCCCTCCAACCCTGAACTTTCCAGGCCCTCTCTCCCCTGCTTCCACCGAAAGCCCAGGAGCCCTGGAAGCCAAAACCACACCCTGGACCTCGGCAGCATAGGTTTCAAAGAAACATAGGTTTTATGGGTTTTAGAGTAAAAAAAACCAAAAAAAAACTATTTTGTAAAAAAAACCTATGCATAATGTAGCCTTGAACCCTGAAGCCGTTCTCATGTGCGTCGCCCCTCTTCAAGCCAGGATCCACCACCCTAAGTCCCGTCCGGCTTGGGGTTGAAAGCCAAAGGTGCTCGCTCTCGGAAACGGAATCCCCTACAAGCTCGCAACCTTAGTAGATGTATCAAAGCCCAGAAGCCTGAGGATACCCCTGAGTTCCCCTTGTACCCTTGACCATCCAACGAAAAACCCGACAGCTGAGGGCCTAAGCAGGCAGGTTCAGGGTTCTGGGTTTCGTAAAGCCGTAGCCCCTAAAGCCCTCGCATCGGGTTGGAACTCTTCAAGGAAACCCATGCTGCCTCGCTCCGCTCCCACTTGAGCATGAAGTCCCGGAACAAGGCCTCGCACCCCAGACAACAGGGAGGGAGGGTCCGAACTCCAAGCACGTGAAAAGTGGGTCACTGCGTTTCGTGCCGTTTGTTCAGCAAGGCTTCATCGTCCGCCGGGGCTCAATGAGGTCAGACTGAGGGTGTCTAAATTTAGGGGCCAGCACAGGATCGTGCATTCGGCCTTCAAGAGGCAGTTACATCTCTCCAGCTATGGTGGCTCCCATATCTGAGCTGACTGCTAGAGGGGGGGCGGGTGTGCTCTTGCCCAAAGCATCCATCAACTCAAGTCCCTGCCGTTCCTTGAAGACTTAGTCATGGGATTGTAGGAGTCCTTCCAACACTTTCTGCTTTGTCTCAGTGTCGGATGTGGATCTCATGGGTGTGCACCACAAGGAACTCGAGAAACGACAAAGCCCCAAACCCTAGACCAGACTGTAAAGCTGTAAACCCCAAAACGCTACAAACAGCAGAGGGAAAGCGCGGGCAGACTAGAGTTGATGCTGTTGCTCCTTTGTGCTGTCTACAAGCTCTAAAGCTCATCTGCCCCTTGAGAAGGGTAGAACTAGCTAGCCAAGATCCCAAAGCCTTGGCTGAGGATAAAGATGATATGTATAGATATACGACGTCTCTCTGCATGACATTTCCACAGTATGCATGCCATGCTGGCCAGGGTGTTGGAGAACATCAACTATAGTCTCTGGAGAAAGCTGGTATTTACCGTACCGAAGCCACTGCCTTGTTCCTGTCTCGAACCTAAGAGAGAGCATTGGAGACAAGAGTTGCTCAAGGACCGTAAGCTCGACACTCACAACCCAGCTCAGAAGCCCACTACACCAACGAACGCAGTATACGTCCCAGAAACCTGAAACCCGAAACCTTACACTTAAACCCAACCCGAAATTCTAAATCCAACCTGAACCACGGGCTTGGGCTTCGCACTTTGAGGTAGCAAAAACTAATTGAATCTTACAGGGATTTGGGTGGTGAACCGTAAACCCTAATTGAGAATAGTTAGGGTGGTTGGGGCGGGACTGCATGCTGACGCAAGCGCGCGCTAAGCGGGTTCGCCCCTAATTATTCCTCAAGTAAAAGGGCGCACCCTCCGCGCGCACACTGCATACACCCTAAATCTTAAAAAGCCTGAACCCGAAAAACCCTAAACCCTAAAAAGCTAAGAACCCTAAAAACCCTAAACCCCCAATCCCCTGAAGCTCCTACCGAAACGCGAGATCAGAGCTGAGGCCACGGCCGCTTTGTGCAGCGGAATGGACCATAACACTACCTCGCTCTCACGTATATTCTGTCTGTGATAGTTGCCGGGATGTTGAGGGCATTTGGGGACTTGGGAGCTTGCAGTTTTGTGGTGGCTTTTGCCCTTTTGAGGGAGTGTGGGCCTTGGGTTCTTCTCGGATTTCAGGATCCCTGGGCTTCCGACTTCAAGGTTGGTATAGCTTCGGGTTCTCTTTCTTGCGTTGAATTGCTGACATCCTGGAGTTCAGGTGAGGCGAATGTATGTTCTAGCATAACGTGTAATAACGTGTAGCACCACTGCAGAAGCATAACACAGGAGGAGCCTCCTGATTCCGCAGAAGGAGATCCAGGGACAAAAAATCTTGAGAGCAGGTTCCAAGCACGTCACTGCGATGAGCAGGGCCGACAAGTCCAGATGGAGCTTGATGGCGTAGAACCTGAGCGCGAGCGGTTCGCGAAACATGCCCACAGGCGCAACTACATCATCGGAATACCCAGAGAGCCCAATACCCCTTTACAGTAGAAGCCCAAAAGTTGGAAACCCAATAGCCTCAATCCTTAAGAGCAATATATATGAATCCCAGCACTATAATTGTCCTTGATCCGGTTTCCAACTTTTTGGGGTTTACTGTAATAAGGAATATACCTTAAATTATAGGGGCCTTAATACTATGATGTAACGTATATTCCTTAATTAAGGTGTATTGGGCTCTCTGGGTAGGCAGGGTTTCGGGTTTAGGGGGTCGCAGGGCTCTCCTCAATTCTGCACGAGAGCGGAGACGACGCCTGGAGATCCTATACATCGAGGCCCCCAGGATGCCAGTGGCAAGGGGGAAAAGGGCTTCAGGGTTTAGGGGCTTAGGGGTTTAGGGGGCTTGGGGGTGTAGGGGTTTAGGGGTTTAGGGGTTTCGGGGTTTAGGGGTTTAGGGTTTAGAGAAAATCCAGGAGCGAATCTTCGGATGAGCAAATTTTGCATCAATCAATGCGGGGGAAGCTCTACGGGTTTTAGCACCGGTGTTGCGCGCTGTTGTGCAAAAAAAGGGTGGCAGGAGTCGGCTGGGGGGTTGTGGCTGCCACCAGGCGTGTGCCTTGGGAAGGTCCAGACAGTGGTTAATTCCCATAGGCTCCTAAGTAGTTCCTTTTTGGGGTTGCCTTCTAGGAGCCTAAATCTAAACCACCAAAAGGAGCTGCTTTGGAGCCTATGGGAGGACTATGCCCCGAACCCCCAAACGCCAATCAGTTTACTTTACACTCTACACTGACTGATGCTGAATCCATTGCTTGCAATCTGGGCTGGAGCCTGGAGGGAAGGGTCCAACAGCTCCTTGCTACACTGCGAGGTCCTTCTTGGAAAATACCAACACGCACCAAGCTCGAAGACCTAGAACCGCAGGGCCTACCCGCCAGGAGCATGTCTCCTATACTGGCTCCGTTTCGTATGAGAATTCATTGCACGAAGGTCGCCACAACGCTTGACCTCACAAAAAGGGAGCAGCCTGTACAGCACTCAAGGGCCAGGCCGATCTTGCTTGCCTTCGCGGCCAGACCTGCGTTGAAGCTTGTTATCGGGCACAGCATAAAGATGTAGCAGCACAAGGGCCTGCTGCCAAAACCCGGTATTCCGACCACCACCCCTCCCAGAGCCCCTGCCGCCCTGCACCATGCAAGCACAGTGCCAATTCAACATCGACAGCAATGCAGAACATTTTTCGCACGCAGGAGCGCTCTCCGCGACTGTCTTTGCTGCTCTCACTTGGAAGTCTTCCGGCTCCGAGCTCAGAGGACGGCACAAAGCATGCCTGGTGCAGCCTGTTGGAGCGGGCTTTGAGAGTTCAATGTAATCTGATGCACATCCCTTCCGTCTTCGTTCAAGCCCGTCGCCTTGGACGTTCGACGCTTGTGCATGCTTACATTGCCATTACTGCCATTTCCATTACATACAACTACCATCCATTATAAGCGCAGGCATGTCGGCACACACACACACACATAATTACAGACATACACAGTTGCATCCTTACATGCATGCATGCATGCATGCATGCATGCATGCATGCATGCATGCAGGCGTGTATGCAGGCATGCGTGCACGCATGCGTACTTGCTTTCCTACCCTATCGACTTCCACACATGTATGCATACGCACATGCAAGACCACCTCTCCAAAGATAGTCGCAGAAACCATAGTGCCATAGTGATATGAAAGAACAGAGCATAGCCCAGGCTAACCTATGCTCCAGAAGACCGCGAAGTTCTTGACGGCAATCAGCCAGCAACAATTTGAAAGGACCAAACTACATCTCATCTGCCTCCCTGTGTAAAACATTCGCACTCCTGACTTTCTGTGCGCTATCGGTTTCGCCATCTCTCTCTCTCTCTCTCTTTCGCCGTCTCGCTGTCTCAGATCTTTCTATCCTTTAGTCGCTCTTCGTTCTCGTTCTCTCTATCGTTCTTACGCTTCTTCGGTTCGTTCTTTCTTTATGTTCGTGAGTTATGTCTTTCTTTCTGTAATTATTTCGTCCTGTCTTCTTTATTTCGCTGTTTCGTTCTGTCGATGTTTCGTTCGCTCTCCTCGCTCGCTCGCTCTCTCCATCTCTCTCACTCTCTCTCTCTCTCTCTCTCTCTCTCTCTCTCTCTCTCGCTCTCGCTCTCGCTCTCGCATAAGGGACGGGTCGGATCCCCTGTGTCAGCCGCCCACCGTAGATGTGAAAACAGAGACGGCTTGAGAGGCCTGACCGCTAATGTCCCCTCCCTGTCTTTCTGTTTTCTCTCTGTTTCAACCCGAAGGGTTTTGGGGTTCAGGCTTTTGTTTTGAGGGTTGTTGTGAGGGTTTAGGGTTCCGAAACCCGCAATCCCTAAAGTCTACCCCTAATCACAGCCGAAACCCAAAGACCCCAGACCCTGAGACCCTGAACCCCGAAAAACTGTAAACCCGAAGATCCGAAGCCAGCAAACCCTCAAAAGCAACGACCCGAAACTGCCCTCTACTAAAACGCTCAAGAACCTAAGCAAACCCTAAAATCGAGACCCTGAGGCCCTAAAACTCCCGAAAACCTTAAAGCTATAGACGACACTAAACCCTAAACCCTGAAATCCAACAAAAGCCATTAAATTATAAAAAAACAACCCTGAAACCTAAACCATCTGGAAGCCTGGGCCCTACAACGGCCCTGCAAGCGCCATCACCAGGAACTGCACAGCTCAACCCCCTTACATTCTGGGCTTCCCAGATTCCCCGCCTAGCATCGGCCAACCGATCGCTGGCCTGGCAAAAAAGGGGAAAAGCCCACACGGCTCACGGGTTTTCGGGTTCAGGGCTCAGGGTGCCAGTCACAGAAAGCAAGGCAGGAACCATCTCTTTTCGCCTGCCGGGGGAGGCAGGAAACTCGACTCAGGCTGGCCCAAAGGGTGTTCGAATGTATTGGATTGGGCTTGGGCTCGCAGTCGAACCCAAACAAGAGCCAGGCCGCTTGGCGAGTCTCCATATCGACAACTACAGTACTGGCTGTTGCTTGTGAATGGCTGGGCAGGGGTGCGGGTCCACACCAAGAGCTCACACGACCTGATAAAGCCTCTGACTCTCATCATCGGAGGAGAGGTTGCGAACTGACGATGCTGCACCCGCCGTCCATGCCTTTGGTTCTGTACAGCGAGATGAGGGCTTCTCTAGAGGAAGCGGACTCGCCTGAGGGTCTGGAGAGAGACAGAAAACAGACACAGACGACACAAAAGGAATAAGCCCAGTCGATAAGTCACGCCTCTGCATCTCTTCACACTACGCCCAGGCCTCGGAGCTGTACAAACTGCTTCTCCTCTTACTCGACGGCATTCTCCTTGATCCCCCAAACTGTATCGCTCTCGATGCCAGTCCTTCCCGCTGGACACGGCATTCTGGAAGCTTCTCGCGCCGTTCACGAGTGCGACGGGAAGAAGCAAAGCATCATCCTTTCTTTGCTCCTCGACGCTCTCTGGTCTGTCTGGGAACTTCAAGATCAGCGCTAGCTGAGCGAGCGACAGGAGCATCCCGATCACGTTGGGAACCCAGACCGGCATCTTCTGACGGCGAATGCCCACAGCGAACCAACAAAGGCTGTTCAGGAAGCCCATGAAGATCTGCGGGCCCGGCAAGGCTTTCGAAGATTTTGTTTGAAGAACCTCTCGCAAGACCGAGAGGGGAGCCGCATACATGATGATAGACACAAGGATGCCCAGACTACCAACCCTCGCGGCGGCCCCTTCACCTCCCAGCCCAGCATATGCGAAGATCAAGCCAGATAACGCGAACACCGAAATGGTGCCAACGCAGGCCTGCGCGTTCCACCGCTCTGCATTCGCAGTCCCCAGAGCGAAGTACCAGCATGTCGCGATGCTGAAAAGCCCTACGGCCACGCCGTAGACATTGCATCGGATCATTGGGGGTATTGGCATAAAGATCCCGTAGCCCAGCTGGGTCATGCAGTTCAGGAAGAAGCCCAAGAGATTCGCCGGGTTGATGTGCTTCACTTTCGCCGGTGTTCCGATAACGTCAATCGCTTGAGTCAAGGGGGAAGTCATGAAGAAGAAAGCTAGGCAAGTTGCCAGAGACTCCAAGATCAGGTCTGCAAACATGGCGAGCGTCCAGGGGACCAACAGAAGCGGAAGGAGCCGGGAGAAGACTCGAGCCGGGACCAAGACACTCCAAGCATCTGACTATCTCTAGCTCTCTCTCGCTCTCTCTCTCTCTCTCTCTCTCTCTCTCTCTCTTTCTCTCTACCTCTCAGCCGAAGGAATGCAGATGCATGCCCCAGAGCCTGCATGCCCTTCGAAGGCACCGAAGGAACGAAGGATCTGATCTTCAAACTGCGCCGGGGAGACACGAGCTAGCGAGGGCTGCACTGCGGGCCCGTCACGCAGTTAAACTTGCCTCGAATGCTGCGGAAGGAGCGTTTGGGACGAGTCCTCGAGGATGGGGAGAGGTCGGGGCCTTAAAACCCTAAACCCCTGAACCCCTAAACCCCTCAAACCCTAAACCCTATAAACCCTAAACCCTATAACCCCTAAAGCCCTAAACCCTAAACCGTAAGCCCTGAACGCTAAAAACCCAAAGCCCTGGCAAGACGGGGACGGCCGGAAGCCCTGGAGGCCCAAGAGTACGTTTGAAAACTCCGAGCCCCCTCTGCACCCAAGTGGATGGGTTTAGGGTTTAGGGTTTAGGGTTTAGGGTTCAGGGTTTCGGGTTTAGGGTTCAGGGGCCCCTTCTGAGTCCCCAAACGACAGGGTGCCGTACTAAGAGTAGACTTCTGCACGGGCTCCCCAAAGAAGGCACATGATCCCCTAACTCCTAAACCCTAAACTCCAAGTGCTTTCAGCTTCCCAGCTGAGAAGCGGAGGCCTGCCTTTTTCGGCTGACACTGGAAGAACAAGTCCTGCCAGAGGGTCCCCTTGGTGACTTGAGGCTTCTCTGGGTTTCGGAATACTTCAGCAAGGGGTGTGTATGGTATTCCGGGGGAAGAGGTTTCCGGAAACACACTAATTTAATCCTAAACCCCATAAGCACTAAACCCTATACCCTCTTCAACCCTAAACCCTATGAGGAGGTCTTTGCAAGGCTGCAGTTCTCACTGATGCTTCAGAGTCTTCGCTCGGCTTCCGAGCCCAGCGAAAAAAGCACTGGAGCAACGGACCATGACGAGGCCTCTTTACAATACCCTAAACCCTAAACCCCGAAACCTCTTAACCCCTAAACCCTAAACCCCCAAACCCCAAACCCTAAACACCTATAAACCCAACACCTTTTGACCTAATCCCTATAAACCCTAGGTCGAAAAGTCGAAATCCCAAACCCAAGGAGACCGGCAAAGGGTGCCCAAAGCCAGAGCCCAAAAAAAGCCCTGAAATTATAGGGTTTAGGGTTTAGGGTTTAGGGTTTAGGGGCATACGGTTGATGATATAAAATCCTGCATTACCCATAACAAGGAATCTACCATAATTCCCATAGATTATGGCCCTGAAGGTAATGCAGGATTTATATCATCAACAGTAGGGCATAAGCCTCAACTAGCAAGTTTAAAACCATGTCGGGCAATTACTAAAGGGATCCTTCAGGTGACGTACTGTACGTTGCTCAACTCACGGATAGTGCGCACTTTGCGTTTCTACCAACCTGGATCTAATTTAAGTAGCGTTGGTATCTTGTGTGTGATGAGGGGGGCTAAATCGGGCTAAAGCGAGGAATCAGCGAGTGATGCAGACATGCAGACATAGACCTCTTCGACTCTGAAAATTCGATGCTCTATCAGAGCAAGCGCCTCAGCCAAAGGCAAACTCTCTCTTTGCCCAATTCCCAACACAGCAGTGCGAGTGCCTGCCTTGCCGGTGACAACGCTCTTTTGCTTCTGGTACTTTTCCGTGCATTTTGCTTCCTGAAAAGGGGGTTCTGGTGCTCCTAACCTTTAGGACTTTAGGACACTGGGTTGGGAGTCGACTCAGGGTTTGCGAGTTTTTTTCGGATTTCAGCTTGTGCTTCGGGGAGATACGTTTTGGTAAGTCCTAATGGAATGCATTCAGGTTTCGTGCGCCATCTGCGCAGATGGCAACCCGGGTGCAATAGCCGCGTCATAGAGGCAGGTGCTTCGGGGATTCGGACTCCAGCGCTTAGGGCGACGTTTCGTGCTGGGCTTTTGAAGCTTCGATGGCATCTTCCTAAACCCTAAGCCCTACCTGGGACTCTAATTACATAAAGTTTTCTGGGTTCTACCTACTAATTAAGGGGTAATGGCTGCTACACTGTAGGTAAAGAGAGTTAAAGGTAAGCCCTAAACCCTAAACCCCAAGAACGAGAAAACGTAGAACGGGCCTGGGAAAACCCAGCGACAGCTCTTGTAGCGACCATCCACGCTCGAAGGCTCCCGCACATGAGCCATAATCTAGAAACCTATAAGTAATGACCAATAGTAGCTTTTTTTTTGGGGGGGGATCCTTATTATATTGATGATGTAATATACTCCAAAACTCTATTCTAACCATTAAGGCCTACACTAAGCTTGAAAAGAAGCCCCATTGAACCCTGAACCAGAAGCTGGCCGCAAAGAAGCATCCTGGTTCTCTGCGCCACTGAAGTGATCACATCGCCAGGCATCGTTCTGCGTTACTTTGAGGATTTCCTCAGCTGTGAGGGACTCTTTGCCAGCCGACGTTGAGGTGCAGCATTTCCGTGGATTATAGGTTCATGTGAGCACAAGACGGCAGCCTCGATGTTTGGAGATAGATCCTGGAGGCATAATTGCGCCATGCACTACATAGTCATAGTCGTTCAGGACGGAACGCACGTTGGAGCCTAAACCCTAAACCCTAAACCCTAAACCCCTAAACCCTAAACCCCCAAACCCTAAACCCTAAACTCTAAACCCTAAGTAGGGTCCAGTGAATCATGTCGCGGGGGCTCATTGACTCAACAAATCTGAAGGTACAGTTGGCCTGAACCGTACTGCACGGTGTGCATTGGCATGCCTGTTGGGCTGTGGTAGTCCATAGTTACTCGACCATAGAAGCCCAAGTAATCAGAAGAAGGTAGGAAAACCGTTACCAAAAAGCAGGTGCGCCTGGGGGCAAAACCAGAGACGGAGCCTTCGTGCGGTGTAGATAGCTCCAAGTCTGCATCTCAGGATGTCTCAGTCAGATCTACACTGTAAACTCCGAAGCCTCCCCAAAGCCAGAAACCCCGTGCTTTCTGACCGAGCTCTGTCCCACTGCAGGTTGGCAGTGTTCCTGTCAAGGGCTTTCGTGTCGATCATGGGTCTGGGGGTGTGACAGTTTGCTGCTTTACTGGGCCGGGTTTGTCGGAGGAGCTCACTGAAGGGGGCCGACAGCTACTCGAAGAGGGCTCGAGGTAGCTCTGCCGGAATTTAAGCAGGCATTGAGGTTTGGGGGGCTTCGCACGCTGTAGGATCACAGGACATACTGGCTTCAGCCGCGTTCATTCTCAACCCACGCAGGGCCCTGGCTATTGCCAGCTAAAGGATCCCGACACCACAACGTTTCAACAACTGAAATCCTCTGCTGCGGGGCAAAGTCCGTTTTTCCTATTCTCTCCTCCGGAAGCGGTAGAATTCACCAGGACTTTCGTCGCAAATGCAGACGAACTCAGCGCGGCCATGGCGAGTAGCAGCCTCAGTTTCGAATGGGCAGGAATGGCCCAGACCCTCAACAGTACTCATAGGCCCCTAAGTAGTTCCGTTTTGGGATTACCTTATAGGATTCTAAATATAAGCCATAAGAAGGAACTACTTAGGGGCCTATGGGTAGTCAGGGGACTCCCAGGTGAAGCTACAGAGACTTAGCCCAAGTTCCGATCTTTCACCTGCCATAAGGTCACCAGACACCCCTCTGCAGATAGGCGTGACGTTTCGTGATTTAAGGTTTAGGGTTCACGGAGGTGAGAGGAGAGGTCCCAAGGAGCCGAAGACTTGCCAGCCTCCGATTCAAAGTCGTACTTCTATTCTTACGGACCCTACTACTTCAAGTTCTGTATGGGGGTTTCCGAAAATAGGGGACCCTGATATAGTACCCTAAATAGCAGGATCCTTATTATAAGGACCTCAAAATAAGGTACCCCCAATTTTCGGAAAGTTCCATGTGGGTCCCGCATTTTGCCGAAGCTCTCATCTCAAGCCTCACGCAGAGAGAAACACAGCCTCTGCGCAGCAAAGGCCAACAGATACCCATAGGCCCCTAAGCAGTTCCCTTTGGGGATTACCTTATATTTGCTTGTCAGAAGAATCCAGCGCCAAGTATAGATGTTTTCCATTCTAGGGATCGAAGTCGGAGTCGAAAGAGCATGACTTGATTTCAGTTGTTGAATCGCATCCTCACGCCTTCAGAGAACAAACCGGTACTTCGTCAACACCAGATGGTACAAAGGTTGTGCTATGACAAATTTGGTGCCTCATCAACCACGGAGTCCCACGCAAACGCGATTGCAGCTGTGTTGCTTCATTTTCCCAGGGCCGAATGCAGACGGCCTCCGAGGGAAGCAGAGAGACAGGGCGATTGCAGCGACTTCTCCTAAACCTCCCATCAGGGTTTAGGATTAGGGTTTAGGGTGTAGGGTTTAGGGTTACTTCTCAGGATCTGATGAACGTTCTCTCGCCGGAATGCTGTAGGAGGTACAGTTTGGGAAGTATACTGCACCTGCATGCCCAGAACATGTGAGAACCACAAGTGCGTGCCTGACACCCGTTAATTTAGCTTGTGCACTCGAAGCACTCAGGCGCCGGCATAGCATATGGCATATGGCATACCAACATGTCCCTCTGCCGCTGCCCCAACAACCGTCCCAAAACAACTTGAGCGAGACAGAGGGGGAGAAAGGGAGAGAGCACCCACAGAATTACATAGCGCACTCTCATATTCACACATCGCACGATATATACATACTTCCTACATGCCTTGTCTACATCTGTGAGTGTCATCACGGAGCTGCTTACCTGTCCCCAACTTTCCGTCTTTCTCTCTCTCTCTCTCTCTCTCTCTCTCTCTCTCTCCCTCTCTCCATCTCTCTGGACAGGTCTACCAGCTACTTAGCATGCTTGATGAACATGAACGAGCTCTTCGGCTAAACAGTGTCGCTT